ATTATCAAACTTTTAAAATTACTCAAGGAGGGGGCACTCTTAATACAAGCGGGTAACGCGTTAAAACAGATAGTTCCTGCATACTTAAAAGTTCTGTTTTCCATATTGTATTTTGGCTTTGGTGGGTGTAAGTCGTTACTTCTGCGAGTTGCATGTTTGAACGTTAATTTGTTATTTTCATTTTCATTTGTTACATGTTCTCTTTTGAGCTGAGAAACCGCAGCAGAACGAGTACAACACAGTTTAAGCGCTGTCTTACCTGGACCTCGGACTTTTGGAAGACAACTAAATGATCCTCTGCAGTTTGGTGTCCAGCCACAGTTTTCAATTTCAGCTTCATACCTGAAATGGGGAAAAAAGAGAAAAAAATCAAAGAAATTCCACTTGCGTCAGGTATTTACATAAAACTAGGAAACTCTTTGCATCCACCAAACAATGCTTCATTGGGACGGTAACTTTTTAAAGTGGAAAAAAAAAAGATTAAGAAATACTTACAGTTCGTTTGTCTCCTCATTGAAAGGGTTACATTCGAGACTCACGTAAACCCTGCAAAAGAGTAACAGACATGTTTCTCACCTTGTAATTAAGACAACGCTTCAAAATCACATAACATCATCTTTGAGCGGTTTTCATTTGTCGCAAATAAAGCGGTTTTCAATTGATTACCGTAAAACCAAAACCCGGGACCAAAACCAAACCAATTACTTACCAATTAGACTACTCAGCCAATCTCAAAGCGTAGTAAAACCAAAACCAAAGTAACTGCTTGATTACTTTCGACTCGCAATTGTGAACTGCTCTTGTTGCCATTTGTATTGGTCTTGCATTACTTGTGTCACTTTCTCAACCAATCAAAAGCAAAAACCAAAACCAACCATGCTTCTGCCACACAAGTTTTCCCGCGCTTCGCGCCCGCTACACATAGTTGCTTTAAATTGATTGATTCACTGGCTTGTCTTTGACCTTGGCGATCTTTATGATTGGCCAGGGCTGGTATTATCAGACTCGATTGAAAACCGCTCTAATTTGATGTTTGCAAGGATCAGCCCTTCCATGGACTAAAATGCCATTCGGGCGGAATGGAAATGTTTTTAGTCACTTCACGTTATGGACGACAAAAAAAGCTCCAGCAAAAGGAAAAACTTTGCCCCAACTAAAAGAACTTCGTAAAGGTGAAACAATGACATACGATTTGTGACAACTCACCTTGTAATTTCTTTGTTATCAGGTGAGAAACCATGAGAAAGTCTACTGAATTGAGTGGTATGAATTTTTCCAGAGATTTTAACGGGTGTTCCTATAAAATAATAATAACAAAAGAAAGATTTGACATAAAGCCATCTTCCTTTAAGAAGACTTTGAAAACCAGTCGAACTTAATATCATTTACAGGTTGTAATTATTTCTGGCAACAAGGGAAGTGATCTCTAAGAGTCATAAGACATGTGTATGTCACGTGCTGCTCACGCCTTGCTTAGACTAGTGTCACGTGAGTTTCATGTTTTGTTGCATGACGTACCTGGTACAGCAGCCCGAGGATAGAAATCATCTATTGTCGGAGTACTCCATTTGTAAAACTAAACAGTAAAAAGGAAAAAAAAAAAAAAAAAAAAAAACGCCAGAGCTCAATATATATGTATTATGGGTCCTTGATATACAGAAAAGCTAGAAAATCGTTTTTGTGTTTATTACAAACCGATGAAGACATCTGAAAGGTTGACTTAAATCAACCAATCAAATTGCTCTATTGCCAGTCCAGTATTGTCAAGTATCGGACCAGGCACTATTCTTTATGATCTCGTGGAGTTTTCTTGTGGTTTTACTAAGTACGTATACGTTTCTAAATGAATGTAAGTAAAACTGGATTTTCAGCGTTTTCATGCACGTCGCCAGTGGCCAGGCAAATTTATTGGAACAAAATGAAGTGTTCACAAAAGAAAAGAGTTCAGCTCCCACAGGATTGGTTGGTACACCAACATGGCCGCCGTTTCATTGTTTTGGAACACCACCATGGCTGCTGTGACGTCACATGAAAACGCTTTATGGACTGGGTAAATTTTGCAAGTCACTTGATAAAACTCGTGTAATATAAAATCACTCAGGATCACTTATCAATGAAGTTCCTTGGTATAGTATTAGGGGAATATGTCTTCACGGCTTTTTCTGAATGGATCTTACTGCTCTCGATTCGTCCCTTTACGACGGAGGCTCGATACTCTCCCAGAGGGCCCCGCGTTTGGTTTAGAAGATATCCATAAGAAATTCGCTGATGTATTCCCTGTTGCTGAAATGTATTTTTTATTGATTTTCACCAGCGTAGATAAAGTAGAGAAAGTAAAACTACACAACTATCTCACCTTGAAGATGCACTTTCCGCGCCAGCCGCAATACTTGGTGACTCTGACTCCGTTTTTAAACATTACTAGTTCATAGTCCCCACCATCAGATGTCGGAGAGGGACTGGAGGGAGTAAAGAAGTTAAACAACGTAAGTAAATGGACGATTTCAGAGTTGCCGTTGCCTCTGTTTGAAAACGAGTCCTCGCACAAAACTTTCATATGAAAGATTTTGACTTGCATAAAACGCAGATGGAACACATTATTTATATACTTTTTTTTATATATATATGAATGGCCTCATTTAGGTAAATGACATTTGCAGGCTGTAGACTACATTTAGGCGAAATAGCGGTCGGTTTAGCCTGAATATCACTCCAGTCAGACCGGTTAGCCAGAATAGCGCTAATTTTAGCTTGTTCACGGTTAGCTTTCGGTAATGGAAATGGGAATGAGATATTAGTTAAAAAGTCTACACTCTGCAAATGTCATATACCGGCCTCGTTTTGACACCGAGGCAATTGAAGGACACTAACTCAGTTTCACAGCCAATCCTCTTTTCTGAGACATCAGTGGGTGTGATATGACAGGACACTTGATGTTTGTCGGACTTAAAAAACACAAGGTTCCCTGCTGTTGGATTGTGAAAGTTAAACTGGTCCGGAGCAAAACCTAAAGGAAGGAACGAAATGAGAATATCGTGTCACTATCCTCCAGTCCGGCTTTCATTGAACTGAAGTGCTCATGAATAGCAAAGGATAGTGATAAACGCTACGTCGAAGTAAATTAGCTGTAGTGTTCACTGAAACTGGGGAAGATAATTGTTATATTTTCTACACATGCGATCCTTGCGGATCAGTAAATTCAAATCTCCACTGGGTTAACTCTCCGGGGGGGAGGGGGGGCACTGCCATATATGGGCTATATAGGTATGTGCCTCCGTGAAGGGCATTGTTTTCAAGCAGTTTACTCTAGGACAGGGTATATAAATCAGAGCGTTTGGGTCTAGAATAGGGTATAATTTTTTACAAAACTGACTAGTTGGTTGAAGATTTTATGTAGACTATAAGGAAACCAGGAATTGCCACTCAAAAATATAAAAAAATCAAATCGGCAAGTTTAAATTTACGCAAATCAGCCTCAACAGTGTCAATAGATGGGGGGA